AAAAAAAATTAGAAAAAAAGAAAAAAAAAAGGGAAGGTATACTTCATATATTCTAGCTTTTTCTGATCAGTGAAAAAGTAGTGATTGCTCTTGGATCTGTTAAGGTTCCTGCATCCCTTAAATTTTTGTTCATACTATTTCTAGAGACACCGTCTGCCGATGAAGCGGAGGTCTACCGGAACATACAAGCATGTCTTGAAATGAGACAAAGTTACGTATTCAGGGAGTCTGTTGCTCCTTGGGTGAAGGAAGTAATTTCTGATCCAAGCACCCCGAAGCCAAATCCAAATCCATTTGAATTCACTGCAGAAGGAAAATCTGATGTAAGCACAACCATCTATTTTAATGCTAGAGTTTTGTGGTACATGTGTGCTACTGATTTTATATTTTTTGGAACAAATTTTACGCGTTCTACTACTCACAACTTTTCTGTTAATTAACTTCTTGATTACTTCTGCAGCATTATTTTCAGATGGAAGATGGAGTTGTTCATGTATATGCAAATAAAGATTGTAAGCTTAGAAGCTCTTGCCTGCTTCATGTTTTTTTTTCTTCTTTTTTTTACCTTTTTAAGTTCTGAAGGCCTATCTAACTCCTGTTTATTTACTCTTAATGTCTGCCACCCCCTTTTCTCCCTCCCCCTTTGCACTTGGACCAGCGAAAGAGAAACTTTTTCCTGTTGCTGATGCTACGACCTTTTTCACCGACTTTCATCACATCCTTAAAGTAATAGCAGCTGGGAATATCAGAACTTTATGTCACCATCGCCTAGTGCTTCTGGAACAAGTATAAACCTCTATGCTCGCATTTCTTTCAGATTATATGATATGGTAATTTTGTTATGACGCTTATTTTTTATCCAGAAATTCAATCTTCATTTGATGCTTAATGCGGATCGAGAGTTCCTTGCTCAGAAAAGTGCACCTCATCGTGACTTCTACAATGTGAGGAAGGTTGATACACATGTTCATCACTCAGCATGCATGAATCAGAAACATTTGTTAAGATTTATTAAGTCAAAGTTGAGGAAGGAGCCAGATGAGGTAGTTTTCTGTTTGTATTTCTTTGCTGATGTGTGTTTCAGTTCTCCGATTCGTTGGACAGCTAAAGCGTTTTCTTTTCTTCAGGTCGTGATATTTCGCGATGGAACATATATGACCTTAAAGGAAGTCTTTGAGAGCTTGGATTTGACCGGGTAAGGAATAAGTTTCTAGGAGTGGTGCTTGAAAGAGCATGTGAGATGACCTAGCTATTAACATTATTTCTGATGTCATTGTTTTACTTTCTCTTTAAAAAGGTATGATCTCAATGTTGACCTATTAGATGTTCATGCTGACAAGAGCACCTTTCATCGTTTTGACAAATTTAACCTCAAGTACAATCCCTGCGGTCAAAGTAGGCTGAGGGAGATTTTTCTCAAGCAGGATAATCTTATACAAGGTATGCTTTATTTATCATTTAGATGGTCTTTCTAGTTGACCCATCATCATTGTAATCATCTTCTACAAAATCAAGTAGAAGTTGGGATATGGTTTCAATGTTATCAAGCATATATCCTAATCCCTAGGCTGCATGAATTTGGGTTATGGGTCCTAATCCCTAGGTTGCATGAACTTGGGTATGGGTAAGTATCTAAATGTGTATGAGTAAGTTTCTGGCACAGGTATGTTTCATTTTAGCGAATTCAAGTATTTAAGGATGTCAATTAAGTATGCATACACATGTCATACCCATTTAACTAAGGTATTTCAAAGAAAATGAAGAGTTCGTGTGATATTGGGTAACTGTCTAACTGTGTTATTCCAATACGCTAATCGAACTGACTTCTAAGTTTTAAGTTATTTAATAATGTTTTATGGTTTCTGTTGTAGGCCGTTTTCTTGCCGAACTGACTAAGCAAGTATTTTGTGATCTTGCTGCAAGCAAATATCAAGTAAGTTCATTTTTACTTATAACAGATAACTGTTAATTCTCTTTCTTTTTTTTTTCTTTTTTTTTTTTTTTCCTAATCTGTTCGGAGGTACCTGTAAGCCTTCTGGGTATCTAAAGATATATCCTGTCTGGAGTGATAGCAAAAAAACTACGATGATATTAAAGAGTAAGGGGAGAAAGATCTAGGAACTCTAAATAGTCGTTTGAAGAACAAGTTACATTTACGTACCCGTCACTAAGATTTTTTGAGATTTCACTGGCTTCTCTGGTTACTTAATTATTGCAAAATGCAATCTGAAAGGTCTTTGTGGGCTTGAAGGTGATTATTGTTATGCTTCGGTCCAAATTTTATTGCACAAGTTTGCAGTGCTGACGATATGGTGTTTTTCTTATTGCTATTGAAACATGACAGGAACAACATTGTATCTAAAGGTAGATTTATTTAAAAAGAATGAAAATGATTTCACTTGGTCGAGTCATGTTTGGTCTGTCCATTTCATTTGGCACGTCTTAATCTTTCTCCATTTTGCCGGAGATGGCAGAATACATCATTTGACAGATCTTAATCTTTCTCCATTTTTGCTTTTAGATGGCAGAATACAGGATATCAATATATGGCCGAAAGATGAGCGAATGGGACCAACTTGCAAGCTGGATCGTTAACAATGAACTGTACAGTGAAAATGTTGTCTGGTTGATCCAGGTATGATGTTATATATGCAACTGTTTGTCAGCTGTTAAGTCCTAATAGGTCAACTTCGGCATTTTAGGTTGTCACGTCTTAACTAGCTGTTCCCGAATTAGGGCTGGTACAGCAATTCCCAAAAAACTTTAGGCGAGATATGTACAGCTTAAAAGGAGGTGTGTGATTGTCATGATTTCTTTAAGCTATTGATAGGAGTACTCTTACAATAGGCATTATAGGCTAGAGGTTGAAATTTACATTTTGACTTGGAAAACTGATATTGATGCTACATGTACTTTTTTTGGGAAAGACCAAAGGAGGTCTAAGTTGGTTTTAGAATATAGATGTGAATAAAATCAAATTTTGCAAAGTTGGCTTTGCTCTATTGATTAAAGTCCCTTGTTCAATGAAAAGTTTGCTCTAATTATATCTTATAAATCAATAAGAGATAGTCAAACATACTCTTAATTTTCAATCTTATAAATCTTGGTTCAGTCTGATTATTTTCAAAATAACACAAATTATCTTACTCCAGATCATTTTAATCCTTTCAGTGGATTAGTTTTGTTTCTTTCTTACTTCCTTTTTAATGGTTGACCATTTGGTTTCCGTGTGTATGCATTTTGATGTTGTAATTATTATTCTTAAACTTCCTGCTTTCTTTATCTCCAGCTTCCAAGACTATATAACATATATAAAGAGATGGGGATTGTAACATCATTTCAAAATATCCTAGACAACATCTTTCTGCCCTTGTTTGAGGTTACTGTGGACCCAGATTCACATCCTCACCTGCACATCTTCTTGAAACAGGTATGATTTATTAAACATTTGAATCCACCCTTTTATTGTTTATAAAAAAAAGGAAGGCATCACATGATTGGCCCAAGTTTCGTTGAAAATTGAAGATTTGGTTGTTTCAAGTTTAACCCAGACTTGTGGTGCTGAATACGAATACTAGGAATACTAAAACTGCTTGCTTGCTATCGTGTGTTGGGATGGAGTCGGATATGATCCAAGCTTTGTTCGTATTTCTTATTTACTTTTCTGTTCCCTTCGTTCTGTGATATTGGGACATTCATCTACGTGGCGGATATGAAATCTTGGTTGAGCCTATATATGTGATGAATAAAGTAGATGGCCTAAATATTTATTGAGAAGGAGAAAGATACGTAGCTGTGGGTGGCATGTTTTTTCGATTTCAATCCACTCGTTTTGGATTGTTTACCACAATCATCACTTATATTCTTAATTTTAATATGTTCTTCTTCATACTTCTTGTTCTGTCATCTTAAAGGTTGTTGGATTGGATTTGGTGGATGATGAAAGCAAACCCGAAAGGAGGCCTACCAAACACATGCCTACACCTGCTCAATGGACCAATGTATTCAATCCTGCATACTCATACTACGTGTACTATTGTTATGCGAACCTCTACACCCTGAATAAGGTCCGTAAGTTACTCCATTTCTATCTCCTCCTTTCCCCTTTGGCTCTGCCATCTTAACTTCCTTGTCTGATTGGAAACGCAGGATAGTGTTACAACCTATTTCGTAATGATCTCCAATTGTGGTTGCTTTGGGGAAAGATTGGTAAATGGATAGGTTTAAATGTGAATAGACCAGAATGATATCCTTTGTGCTAGCACAACACATTTGTGAGGTGCTTATAACAAATATTGCTGTTGCTTGAGAAAGACGGTGAAAAGCTCATTTTTGAGGACTTAAAACAAAACGAAGGTTGTTTAGAGTCTAGCAGCAGTCTCTCTTAGCTATCCTTTACTTTGAGATAACATTCTATTTCTTTATGGATTAAAGCTCAATTCTTATAATTACAGTCTTTTTTTTTTTGGTTGTTAAACGAAGTTGGGTGGTTACATATTACTCCCCTCATTAGTAAATCCCATTTACAGAGCTGTAGATTTGTCTACCATAATACTATTCAAAAGGATCTATTTACCACAATAATCTCGTTGATATTTTTGCTTGTACACATTTGATGCGTCGAGTTCTGACCCCTTGCAAAATAACATCTCAGCTACGTGAGTCAAAGGGTATGACGACCATCAAATTCCGGCCACATTCTGGGGAGGTAGTCACTCAGGCTTATTGTAGTGTTCTTTAATTAATGAGTTTCTTTTGCTTGCTGATTAGATGATTTACATCTACAGGCTGGAGATATTGACCACCTTGCAGCAACTTTCTTAACAGCCCATAATATTGCTCATGGTATTAATTTGAGAAAGTCTCCTGTTCTCCAATACCTGTACTACTTGGCCCAGGTAATAAAGAAATTAAAGTGAATCTTTTGTTTAGCCATATGTGTTATCTGGTTATCAATCATGACTTTAATTGTCAGATTGGCTTGGCGATGTCTCCTCTCAGTAACAACTCTTTATTTTTGGACTACCATCGGAATCCTTTTCCCATGTTCTTCTTGAGGGGCCTGAATGTTTCTCTTTCAACTGATGATCCATTGCAAATTCACTTAACAAAAGAAGCCCTCGTTGAGGAATACAGTATAGCTGCTTCAGTGAGTATTCTAGTGTCTTGGCGGAAAGATTTTATGATGTCACTTGGTCAAGGGGATTAATAGTTTTTGTCATGCAGGTTTGGAAGTTGAGTGCATGTGATTTATGTGAGATTGCACGTAATTCAGTATACCAGTCAGGCTTCTCCCATGCGCTAAAGGTTTGTGTATCTCCTTGAAAATTTAAATGCTGTTGGCATGGTAATCTGCTCCCAGCTCTCAATATTCATCAAGCTCGTATCTTTTTCCAATTGCTACCAAACTCCACTTTCACCTGGGTTCATTAATCCGTTGATGCGCTGGTTTTCTTTTAAATCCCTGAGTTGCCTTGTGTGAAGTTGCTTAATTTACCTTTCTGTGAGACACAAAAGTAGAAAATTTTGGTAAAGTATGACTGGCTATCTGCGTAGCTATATTCTAAGTCCAGTTAAGTGCGAATTTACCAATTCCAATCCAAAGTTTGTAGATCCCTATGGATGTGTATCTCATGTCTATTTTTATCTTGGCCATATTGGTAGTAGAGTTTTATTAGGGGTTCCTTTCTATTCTTGACGGTAGGTTCAGTGGTTAAATTGTTTAGTTGCATTTCCTGTATTCATTTTCTTTTCTTCTTTCCTTTTTTTTTGGGTTCCATTTTGCTATCCAGGCCTTACTGTCCACCTAAGTTGCATAGGCATTGACATCTCGCTTTGTGGCTTTCAAATTAACAACACTCTATGCATATTTGACTTCTGTATCTTCTATTGCATATCTTACATAAATGGCTGGTGTGCTAATTCTACGGCCGGGTATTTTGATGCTTGTGTTTTGTGGTGTTCTTTTCTGACATATTCCACGTATATACATAGTCCCACTGGATTGGGAAGGAGTACTACATAAGAGGGCCAGATGGAAACGACATTCATAGGACAAATGTGCCTCATATCAGGCTCGAATTCCGCGATATGGTAAGTACTTATATCTAGAGAATATATAATGTTGTCAATTTAGATTAGTTTGGTGGAGTATTGTGTTGATTTCTGCCTGTAAAGACCCTTTCTGGCTTCCATTGGTCCATATTTGCAGGAATTGTTTGTGTCCAGAATCAGTACTTCTTTTTGAATATTTTCTTTGGTTTCATTTGACTAGAATTTTCCGTCTTGTGGCATTGACTGAAGAATAGTGATCTCCGTTACTGTTTTTTGTCTCGTTATCGTTGAAATTTTAAAACAAAATTTTCATATATGTTGCACTGAATTTGATTGACATGAATTTTGGGTTTCTTTTAGTAGTCGAACCCTGTATTTGACCTATAGAATTCATTGTTCCTAGATATGGAGGGAGGAGATGCAACAGGTTTATCTGGGCAAGGCTGTATTTCCTGCATTCGTTGACCCATGATCTGCAATGCTAATGCATTATCACGGGCTCTGGGTATCGATTCACAGTATCTGGAGGTAAGGAAACAATTTGAAGTCCTAGTTATCTCCATTAGTCACGACTTGGAAGTATCGAATTAAGCAGTTTGCCTGTGCAGAGTTGCCCTTCCGGTAACTCAAGAAGCTTCTCCACCATGAGATATCTGGATTTTGGAAGCTGAGAGGGAGAAATTTTGGTATATGCTAAGACCTTATTAGCCAATGATGTTAAAGACCGTTGGATATATATACTTGATAGTTCAGGAAGCTACTGGAGCTTAGAGCCTATAGCACAACCGGCAAGGCAGTCCGTCCACTATCCGAATAGTAAACAACAGCCCGTGAATAAGGAGTTATATATATCATGTGTGTCGTAGGTTACAAACTTCAGATACATCGCAAGATGGAATTCTGAATGTTCCATGGTTTTGTTGTATCATATTTGACATCTTGGCTAAATAAAGAGTGTTTCCGCCCAATTTTATTTTCTTTTTCCCCTATGGGTGAAGAGGTGCTAGGTGGAGTTGGGTTTTGATTCGTTAATGCACCACATATATACGCATATGTATTTGCTAGTTGTTGGATACGTGCAACGCACGTGTATCCCATACTAATCATTACAAATGTATTAGAATATATGGGTGATGAGTCACAAAATTTTGAGGAAAAAATGCAAGTTCAAACCGATAAACGTTAAGCCTATTCGACTGATGTTTCATTGTCATTGCAAAGCACAAACATACTGAATATTGCTTTCAAAAAATTGTGAAAGAATATCCTTCATTTTGTGGTTCGTGAATATTGACTTTTGGGGGGAAAAAATCCTTTAATAGTACTTCTTTGTACTTTTGTTTATAATGTAATGTTTATTTATAGGTTCATTGTGGGCAAATTTATATGTATATGTTCAAAACAATAAAAGCAAAAAAGAAACCACAAAATAGAATTTAGACAAAAAAACACTTAAAATTGCATAAAATAAAATTCATCTAATTGTACATGCTTGGAGCCGCGTGGTCGAAAAACACTATTTGCTCTTTGGAGTGGTCTTTTGTACTCAAATCCATTAGGATTTAGGAAAAAGGACAATTATTCAGCCTCATCGAATGAACTATAAATTTGCGATGGCTATGGAAAAAATAGGTATATATTGTATATAGAAGGCCGGAAAGGTGAAGCCTTAATTTATCGGCTATAAGGAGGTGAAGAGGTAAAATTTCATTTATTGGATCATTATGAGTATCACTTGCTTTTAATTTGAAAAATGGGAAGAATGACAAGATTTATGGGAAGATGTATTATATTCTGGCCAAGAAGAGAAAAAGGAATATGAGAGTGAAACATGATCAACAAACATGCATGTTAATGGAAAATGAAACGTCTGGGAACATGTTAATGGAAAATGAAACGTCTGGGAAATAAAAACAAATAAGTGAATTTTTTTTGTAACTGATGTGAATACAAAAACATATCTATTTATTAAGCTTTTATTGTTTATTACAATAGACACAATGTACGACGATCCATATTGGTCATTACATATAGTCTTAAGCGATGATTAAACTAAAGATTTTGTGGTTGACTGAAATTGTTCGTCTGCTAAAATGAAACGAATTGAATCTTTCTAAAATAAAGGAACTTCGGTGTTTCCTTTATGGAATTAGCAAAATAAGATCAACATTCATCACTTTCAGCAATTTACATACTTTGTGAGTCTTTTAACTGCATGAGAAAACTTAGTGGCATTTGTGCCACGCTAGATTCTTCTTTGCCGTCTTCTACTCGTAGAGCCTAGTATTAACAAGACAACAATGGATGTTGCAATCTTGCACATGTAAGTAGTGACAGTAGCTAGAAATCTTCTAAACACTAAAATGCATATGAACGGTTTTTTCCAACCAAAAGAGAATAGAATTCCTAGGAATTGGCGGAAGAATATCGAATGATCATGCAATACAAACAAAATAAAGACAACTCTATAGATTCTTATGGAGGCATAAAACAATGACTTAATTTTGTTGTTTACTCACCGACAAGAATCGATGCGGAAAAATCGGGCAGCACTGAAGCATACCTGTAACTAAAGCACCATCCAAATATATGACGAAACGGTGAGGAAAGTAGCAACTCTAATTATCTTGAAATTTGACAAAGTTAGAAGCTTTTTAAGGAGCATACAACATTCTCTTCTTGTTGTATAAGAAAGGAGGGCAACTAGCAAATTTCCCTCTGATAGGTTACAACTACCTTGCTTTATGTTTTGATGATCTAACAAACTTACTGTCAAGAACCAGATAAGGAACCAGTTACATATCCTCAAGACCTTAAGATCGAAAGCTTCCAGCTTGGAATATGCTTCAACTCTTCAGCGTTAGAGGAACAATAGAGGGAACAGATAACTATCGTTTTCCGAGGAAACAGTATAAGTCAACTGCCCCAGCTGTAAAGTTGCTGCATGCACAGGCTACAGTGCAGAATCAGTGCAGCAATTAACTTTATGGGGAGTGTCTTTTACCTACCTTGCTTACATCATCTTAGTGATGTCACAAATGTATTATCAACATCAAGGAAGGTAAAACAAATCACTTGTTCACTTAGAGAAATCATTGAAGCTCTCACGCGGTCATTGATTATCAAGCAATCAACTCTCAAGTGCATCAAGAACAAAGAACAACACTACTACGGACCGGTTCCCCATAACAAGTCATTGTATGTCCTTAGTTGAGTTGTAACTTTGTAATAGTTCTTAAATTGTATTTCCTACTTAGCTTGTTCAGAAGTATTCTGTAGAAAACCCTTTCTAAACCTTAAACCTTTGTGTTTGAGTCTTAGCTAGAGTTAGTCGAGTTATAAAGTCTTTGTAATAGAGTTATTACAAAGTGGCTTGTAATAGAGTATTACAAGTTAGTGAGGGATTAAGAGGTTAATTCCTAGGTTGCATAGGTTATAATCTAAAAGTTGCTCAGTAGTGAAGTTAAAATCCTTTAAGGGTAGGTCGTGGTTTTTAATCCCGTTGAGCTGGGAATTTTCCACGTAAAATTTCTCTTGTCATCTACTTACTGTAGTGTGCGTGTGTTCTAGTGGAACTGATAGAGAATCTGGTTCTCTATAGAGTTTGGTAGACCCTTATATTCTATCAATTGGTATCAGAGCAGGTTCTTTCTATCAGGTTAATACCTAGAAAGGATCCTCATGGCTGCTCCTCCAAACTTCGAAGAAAGCCAGTCTACTTACAGACCACCTAGGTTCGATGGACAGTATTACGGATGGTGGAAAACTAGGATGCACGACTTCATCATGGCTGAAGACTCTGAGCTATGGGATTTCATATGTGACGGACCCTTTGTTCCCACCAAGAATCTTGGCGACCCAGTTGTTGCCATTCCCAAGACGAGGAAGGTATTCAATGACGCTGATCAAAAGGCCATAGAAAAGAAATTTCGTGCAAATAAAATTCTTATTTGTGGCATTGATCCTGATGAATATAACAGGATATCGACATGCCAATCAACAAAAGAAATATGGGAGGCTCTTTAGACAACTCACGAAGGAACAACACAGGTTAAGCAATCCAAGATCGACATGCTCACAATTGAATACGAGCTCTTCAGGATGAAATATGATGAAAATATCCAAGATATGCACACTCGCTTCACCTCCATCATTAATGAGCTTCACTCTCTTGGTGAAACCATTCCACGAAACAAGCTTGTCAGGAAAATCCTTAGTGTTCTGCCCAGTTCTTGGGAAAGCAAAGTGAATGCCATTACAGAGGCAAATGACTTGCAGACACTGACCATAGATGAACTTGTTGGAAATCTGAAAACATATGAAATGAAGAAGAAGAAGGACAATGAAAGAAGAGAACCCAAAAGGGAGAAGAACCTGGTCCTCAAGACAGACAATAATGATTCAAGTGGTGAGGATGGTGATATGGCTTACTTTACAAGAAGATTTCAGAAGATGGTTCGCAAGAATGGAGGCATTCCAAAAAAGGGAAACTCTAGCAAGGCAAAAAATTACGACCTCTGTCATAAATGTGGCAAGCCAGGACACTTCATCAAGGAGTGCCCTCTCTTAAAGCAAGATCAGTACAAAAACAACTTTGACAAAGAGCCAAGAGGAACCCGGCTCCTGATAAACGCTTCAAGAAAAAGAATGCCGCTGACAATGTTGTAAAGCAAGCTCTTGCTGCATGGGGAGACTCTTCCAGCGAATCTGAAGAAGAAAATGATCACGGTGATAGTTTAATGATGGCAGTGGAAAGTGAAACAACTGAGTATGACTCAATCTTTGCCTTGATGGCTCAGTGTGATGATGAGAAGATGGCGACGATGATGAGGTAAATTTTCTGGATGTTCAGAGAAATCTGAAATCTTGTTCTCCCAAAAAACTCATGTCTTTAGCAAACGTGTTAATTGATGCTTATCACAGTCTTATAAATGATAAAGATGCTTTAAATATGGATTTAGGAGAAGCATAACAAACCAGAGATGACCTAGTAATCGTTGTTGTTGATTTAAAGGAAACAATTGAGAACCTGACGAAAGAGAAGGATGCCTTAGATTAAAAAATTGCAAATATAGAACATGAAAGAGATGATCTAATGGTCGCTGTGGTAGACCTAAAAGAGACCTTTGAGCGTGTAAGAAAGGAAAAAGAAGTCTTAGCTGAGAGAGTTGCTAACATTGAGCATGAGAAAGATGACCTATTAGTGGTGGTAGTGGACTTGAAGGAGACAATTGGAGAACCTAAAATAGAGAGTAGGACTGAAAATTCTCAAAAGGGAAAGGAAGTTGCAAGCGAGGCACACATTAAGCTTGAAAGTGAGTTAAATTCAGTGAAGTCTAGTCTGTGTGTTGAGCTTGAGAAAAACAAACAGCTTCATGAAGAACTAGGAAGAGTGAAGAGTGATCTTAAAAAATTACTCAGGTGGACCTGGTCCTCTGATGCTATCACTGCCATGTACACCAACAATGGGAGAAACAGGCAGGGGATTGGGTTCCAAAGGGAAAAGATTCCCTACAACCATCATAGCAAGTATGTTACTGTACCTGATAATTGGCTTTGCACTCACTGTGGCAACATTGGGCACTTTAAAGAAAACTGTAAGGCCAGATTTTAGTCACAACAGAAAAACAAAGTTTTCGCTGAAAAAGTAACTACTGGTAGAGAACCTGGTCCCTTATATAAAAAAATGCATGATGCCTGCTTGGATCAGAAGATCCCTTATTCACCCCTTTCCTCATTACAAGGGATCCAAACTCGTTTGGGTTCCTAAGTCTAACTCCTAATTTTCTTGTGCAAGGAACAATGAAAGGAAGCAGCCTACAATGGTACATAGATAGTGGCTGCTCAAAGAACATGACTGGAAGTACAAATGATTTCCTTTCACTTAAAGCCCTGCAAAGAGGGAGTGTATCCTTTGGAAATGGCAATAAAGGATACATTGTGGGAGTTGGAAGGATTGGGAAGTCTCTCTCACACTCAATCGAAAATGTGTACTACGTGAACGGGTTGAAGTAAAGCTTGCTAAGTGTTCCCCAGATCTGTGACAAAGGGAACAAGGTGGAATTTGTGTCAAAAATATGTACAGTCACAAACATAGTGACTGGTGAGGTGGTGCTAGTAGCAAA